ATCATCATCATCATCTAAAGAAAGAGAGGGAGGAAGGGAGGGGGAAAGAAAGAAGAAAGAAAGGGAAGGAAGAAAGGAAAGAAAGGAGGGAGGGAGACTGTGACCACTCCAGGTTTCCAGGGGATTAGAGGTGAAGTTTTCCCAGGAAAGTGGGGCTTGAGAAGAGCCCTAAGGGAGGAGCCAGAGGAGCAGTAGTGACAAAGAAAGTCTACAGTCTACGGAGCCTGCTCTGAAAAGTATCTTAGTATCTATAATAAATCATCAGGGATGTGCACGTGGCAATCAGAGGTTACACAGAAATCTCTGAACAGCACTGGGTGGTCTTCTTAAACAGGCATCACTGTTTCCCCAGCCAGAGGTCAGTGGCCACTGCAGGAAAGAAAACAGAATGTTCCTCCAGCAGGGAACAACAATTAATTTGCTAAACTTTAACCTTCTATACACTCATCTTTCTAAAGGACTTTACTTGTGCTTGGCTATAGCCTCTATTAAAGATCCTATCACTGCATTCATCAGTTTGTATCTCACCACTTTTTCCTGAGACTGCAGGCTTAGCAAATATTTTCACAAGCTAACAAGGACTCTGGGCTCTGTGAGGCAGGACTTGGGGCCTACCATCAGGATCACCCTGTGCTCCTTTACATTTTTTACTCAGGTAAATGTAGACATTTAACTAATATTTGCAGGGGGGGGGCAGAAAGAATTACAAACTCCAATGAGTCTTCATATTTTCATAATTAAGCTAACCTGAAAGTCGACCTGTGCAGAAACATTTTAAAAACAACAAATCTCCTACAACTTCCTTTTCTATTAGGAGATCTAACTGGTGATAAGTAGTCTTCAACTACTCGTTAAAGAACATATTTCCTATTAACTACAGAAGTTCAGTATAAATGAACAGAAAAAAATATGAACTGGTAAACTTGTTGTGCTGGTCTTAAAAACTGAGTAAGACAGATTTCTACTGCAGAATCCAAGTAGGAAAATTTCACACTCTACCATATAACCCAGTTGTTAACAGCACCAAACAAGACCCACAGWAACAGAAAGGAAAGATAAAAAGATAAATACATCTTTCATGTCTGTCATGGAAAACCCAATAGAAGGCTATATTTCTTATAAATTCTAATTAGACCAGAAAGGATAATCAGAAGATTTTCTTTGATCCTGTGATCTATCTTTATCGTACTATCAACTTGTGAAACACAAAAGCAGCTTACTAGTTCGGCATCCCAATTTCAAACAGAAAGTCTTTTAGGGGTAATAAATAAATAAATAAGTGAAATCCTCTGCTACTGTCTAGAGTGGTTGGGCTAATTTACCTGATGTAAGGGATGCTTTATTTATGAAAGGAAGATAGGGGTAGATTACACTCTCCTGGGGATAACCTGAGCTCTGGAACAGTCTCTCTAGACCACTTAAGTAATATCAATAGTTCACTTATGACATTTACCCAACTTGGCATAACAATTACTTTGTCACAAAGGTCCTCTAAAGATTTTGTTTCCTTTTTTCCTTTCTCCCACAGTGACTCTAAGAAAACGATGACAAAAATCCAGCATCCTAAGCATCCTAACTAAAGAATATTCTAAACTCACAGCTGCTAAAGCMCATCCAGACTGGCTTCAACTTTCCAAGATTTTAGGATCCAGAGGACAGAAATGAGGGTATGTTATTAGTATTAAGGTTGTTAAAATGGCTAGTGAAAAAAGGTATCAGTCCTTATTATAGCTTACACACATATACACATTATTTTTAAAAATGTGTAGTTAGGTCATTTTCTTAAACATCACAATTTTTATTTTGTATGTTCCCAACAAGTAAGTAATTCCAAAGGGTGTGAAACMTCATTTATCTGGCATCAAGAGAGCAGAGCTCTGGAGGAGTGGTTTCCTGAATAACAAACACTCTGCCATTCATTTGCCTGGAGTGGAAATGTTGTCTCTGCCTGCCAGCAYTCCTCCCCCCAGGGGCCGCCCCTCCTCCACTCTGCAGAGCTGGGGCAGGCCTGTCACTGTGGTATCCCACCTTGCCTCAGGAAATATGGACCCAGAGTGGACCAATCTTGGTCATCATCCCCCTTGGATACAGTGGTACATCTAGAAGTAGGCATGTGACCCAAGCAGGACTTAGAATTTTGTGTGTGGACATTGARAAGAAGATGGTCTCTCTACTTTTTCCTACCTAAAAGCCCCAATCATGTGAGTTGAAGCAAAAGCAACAGAGTCATAAGAGAGTCCATTTAACCTCTTGGTTTCTGCTTTGCCCCAAAATCAGCTCTGCCCCCCCACCACTGGTTATATGAGCCAACATTTTCAAGACGGGTTTTCATCACTAGCAACTAAAAGAATACTGGTTCATAAAAATGTCCAAAGTTCATCTGAGTAATTGACCTAGTGTTCAGGGAAACCTTCCCAAAATAAYTGCATGCATCTCTACCATAGTTTAAAAAGAAAGAAAAACACAGCCATAGTAAACACAATTTAACCTTTTCTTACTGATCTAGTCACCTATACCAAAACATATGATGTTCTCAAGCATTATTGAATTATCCAAGGATGCCTGACTCCATTAAAGAGGTAAACACTGCTTTGTAACATTTCTTTGTTCATTATGTTGTCAGCAACATAACACTCCCTGAGTGGGAGGGTCAGATGGCAATTTCTCCTCCCTTGTAGCTGCTGCTGTACCTACTGCCACATCCTATAACAACAGGTAGCTGTTTTCTAAATGAAAATAATCATTCGCCAAAAAGAAGTAAGTTAAGAAATCCCAAGCTAGTTATTGTAAATGACTAATCACATCATATTCTTGTCACACAAAGAAGAGAGCTTCACTCAAATGTTATAAGACAAATAAACAAAAAGAATGGGGTGGGGGTTGCCACTCCAGTGTGGCTTAACCCACCAGGCATTCTGCTCTTCTCCCACCCTCCTCATTCTTCTCCCAACATGCTCCACTCTTATCCCTGCCCTGGCAATGGAGTCCCTTGTTGCACGCATCCATTAACGGCCACCCTCTTCACTGGGCTGTGAATCCCCTTTCTCACAGCTAATTGACTTAATTTCTCACTTCCCAAATATAACTTCCTGGAAGAGAATCTGGCCCAGGGCTTCTTTTTGAGCTAGACCAAAATCGTGCCAGTGTCAGCTGATGGATGGCTGTCTCTGGGTTGTATGCCCACTCCTGGCACAATTAGTGACAGCCAAAGAGAGGACCCATTGATTTACTTATTCATTATTTATTTATCTTACTTTCAGCAAACATTTGCACAGAGCTTAGTACAGGCAAGGCAGATACTTTCTAAGTACTTTACAAATATTCATTATATAGTTCAATAAACATGATGAACCAAAGAAGTAGGTATACTTATTATCCCAMTCTCATCATATTAGGATTTTCCTGCACATCTTTAGTGGTTACACAGCATATGCAATGCTCTTTAAATATACACTTTTGTTACTGTTTTAAAAATCTACATATAGCCATATTAATGAAATACATGCATAATAAAGCTTTGAAAAACCGAATAAATAAAACTAATCTTTCTTGTTATTTTCCTRTCTTGCCTGAATTATTTGCTCACTCTGTGCCAGAAATTAGTATACTAAGTGTGCACTACTTCATTTATACATGCACACATGCACAGAATCTACAATGACACTCAATAGATTGAYATCCTTTCTCTCAACAATCTGAGGAGTCACCAGAAAGCCCGTCTCGTGCTCAGTGCTTACACATAGTTTTAAAACTCTTTCTGGAGCATTAAATATCCCAGCCATTGTGCTTTGCTTCATTTAATGTCCATCASCCATCCTGAGGTGGAACTGTCTCTTTTTACAGATGAGGAAGCTAAGATCCAAACATTTAGCAAGTGACAAAATATTAACCCTGGTCTGAGTTCCACTACACACTATTCAGAAACTTTCACTTAATGGTGATAAACATATTATTACAACCACATGGGATACAGAACTATCCATTAAGAAATAAAAATTCTGTTATCTTTCTAAATACTAACATCAGCAGAAACTGTTAATATTAAGCAGAATATCAACATGGGCTTCAGTCTGTGCCTAGAAACAAACAAACAAACAAAAATGTCCACTGCATGTCTACAAAGGGCACATATAGTGGGTTATAAAATCTAAGATAAGAACTATTATTCCATTTTGTTCTCTTGACATGTAAATATAAAGTCATATCAATTTCTCAAAGTGATATAAAATGGGAAAACCAAGTATGTATCTTTCTCTGAGAAAATGAATTAACCGTAAGGGTACATTCTGTTAGACGCAGATCAAGGTAAATGAGAACATCCAGGAATCACTTAATAACACAAGTTGATCAAAGAAAGCTGGTGCTTAAACATGCTTTTCACACTTCTCACCTGGTGCCTAGGCTTGGAATACCTTGAACACCCCCAGTCCTCCTTCAGGAACCATTTCCCTCTGGTATCTGCTGCACTGTCACAATCCTAGGAGCACCACTGCTGCCACTGAGGAGTAAGTAAGTGCCAAACTCCCTTACCATTTCTGTCATCTCTCTTCTGTTTTGTCAAGAGGAAAATCACATGCTGCCTTCTTTTCCTTCTACTTCTAAACACCATATCTATAAGAAGCAAAGAGAGTCAAGAGCTCTTTGTTTTGGGTAGTTATTTGATTTTAGTTATACACAACAGAATATAACTTGACGTGTCATCCACACATGGAGTATAACTGCCTATTCTTGTAGGTGAACATGATGTGGCACTATCTTGGGAAATTAAAAGGCATGTTTTAGGGACAAGATAAATGAGTTAATGGAACTATGTCATGAAAAAAAAAACAGTGCCAGGAACAAGTATTTTGTTTTTCTTTTCATAAATCACTTTTCAAAGGCGCGATTGGCATTAAAAAGCTAGACATATTTAGTATATACAACTCAATGAGTTTAGTAAGTGTACACACATAAAATATTGACTACCCAAAATTTTCTTCTTAATCCTTTCTTTTTTTCCACATTAGATGGGTAACGTGCCAATGTCCTAACAAGGTTTACTGGAAGGCATATCACACACAACAGCATAAAAAACCAATCATCAGGTTTATGAATCAAAAAGGATCTCTTCCTAACTCTTTCCATATTACTATTTTTGTGTGTGTATGAATATGTGTGTGTGTGTGTGTGTGTGTGTGTGTGTGTGTGTGTGTTGATTTAAGGAATCTCTCTGGAAAACTTAAACATTTACTTGGGTCATATCTTGTTACTGGAGGTGTCTTCAGATCCTACAGTGTACTTTAAATCAAATCCTTTAAGAATGGACTTGACTTTAAATTTAAAGTTCAGTTCCCTCAAGAGAATAAGATGTAGCAATCCAGCTAAACCCCTTAAAGTTAAAAAAAAAAAAAAAAAAAAAAAAAGAAAGAAAGAAAGAAAAGAAAAATTTGACCTCGTCGGGCTGTAAGAATTTCCTTTGTTTTCAAGAATGGCAGTTTCATAGAAACATACGTTAAATGTTTAAAGTAACTTCTTTTAAAGTAATTGCTTGGAAGAAGAAATTCTGACAACTGCATCTGTTTTAAATTCTCATTACTTTATTGAAATCCAATGTATATTTGATAGGGAAGGACAGAGAAAAAGCCATGGCATGGTTTATAATTTCCAAAGTTCCCTTTGGACACGTCTCCAATAATTTTCAACTACAAAGCTTTCGTCATTAGTAGACAGAACTCCATTGGGTCAATGGCATATAGGGCTGGACCAAAGTCCCAGGATCTCAATTAAGAGATGTTATTTTTCAGGGAACAAAACTACAGCACATGGATCAACCTCTTGTCTCCCTTTTCCAAGTTCTTCCAAGGAATTTTTAAAAATTGGTGTTGATGCCAGAAGAAGAGCAAACATCCTCCATCTGCAAGTGGAACAGAAAAACAGAAGCAGGTGGTCAAGCAGCTAAGCTGGCAAAGCTTCTGGCCAGGGGCCGGACGGCCTGGATTCAGACTTGGCTGCAGTCACTCATGACTCTCCAGTGCACAGCTGTATGGAAGCCAGTCCTACCTTGATAAGAAATGTTTGTGAAAGACAAGGCATGAGAACACTCAATTTATTATAGAATCCACAAATTCCATAACAGACATTAGGAAATCAGCTCATTAACTTAAAATGTTTTCAGCAAAAGGAGAAGCAAGAAAAACATTTAACAGGAGGGGGTCACATATACTCAAGGAATTTATTTTAAGTTATCAATAACAAAAACTGCAATCTCACATTCTTATGTGAATAGCCATCTTTTCTACTTTCTTTTCAATGCCTGTGAGTCTTTGTACCGTTTCTTTAAGCACTGGTTCATGTCTGAGTAAAATTTAAGTAATTCAATTGACCACTCTGCGCCTACTATTGCCTCAGTTAAAAGCAAAATGTTCTCTTAAGATCTTATTTAGTCTTTTAATTTAAAACTTTGAATTATTGAATACCTTAACGAGTTTTATAAAATTAAGACTCCTTGACTTTCTCCTATGCCAGCAGAAAACCCACCAGTTCTTTCTCACTCTCTATCTCTAAATAACAATTATCCTATCTATTACCTTAGATAAATGTATATTTATCTGGGTAAAAATACATTTACTGTGTAAAAATGCAGTAATGATCACAATTACATCTAAATCAAAATTTGAAAAACCTATTACTTTTTAGGATCATTGAATCCACCACATATCACATTTTCCAGTATAAAAATACTATTTCCCATGAGTATTTAAAATATTTTGTCAGTTTGAACTAAAATTTATCAGGTACTGAACTAACTAGTAAAATATATTCATATGTATATGTATGTGTGTGTGTGTGTGTGTGTGTGTGTGTGTGTATATATATATATATATATATATATATATAAAATATGTATATACACATTTATACACACACACATATATAAATATAAATATGTATATGTATATAAAGTTATCAGTCAAGGTTCTTTTTGGTTTTTTTGTTTGTTTGTTTGTTTTATTTTTGTTTTTGTTTTGTTTTTTGCTGTACTAGGGTTCAAACCCAGGGCCTCACACATGCCAGGAAAGTTGCTGTAGTACTGAGCCACATGCCCAGGCCCTTGATCAACTTTTAAACTGCCTTTAAACTTTGTTGTAAAATGATCTAGAAGTGAGTTTTGAAAACTCGTTAAGGTATTCAATAATTCAAAGTGCCTTCCATTTGGCCTACACGAAAGGAGAACTAGATATTTTCTACCTTATGTCCATCACTCCCATGCATGTTCATCTAGATTTCAAAGTCCAAGTCTCAAAGTCACTCACCTCAGGTGACCTGCTATCACACTTGCAAAAAGCTCCTTTAAAAACATGGTTAAACAGTACAGGGAGATAAGGTAAACCCTGACCATCACTGAAGAACACTTTTTAATTCTATTTATAACTATATTTGTAAATCACTGAAGGGGAAAATCAGGTACATCTGTTGTCCCAGTTTGGGTCAGAAATCCATGAAAAATTGCAATTCAAGCATGGCAGACCTCAAACGGAAAACATCAGCACCCTGTGTGGTCTTTTGTAAGAAAGTACACATACACTTGTATTCTCACTTTTACTCCAAAGTTAGTTTTCTAACTGGTACCAACACAACCTGATGGATGAAATTTTAAGCACAAAATTTAAAGTGTCATTTAGAACAAGATAATTTAAATCTCTGGAAGATTCAATTAAGAATTACAAGAATTTTACAAATATTTGATTTTTTTAAAGAAAGAATTTAGTATGGGACAAGGTATTATAAAATTTTTTCTGTGGTTGACTTGCAAAATATCTGAAAAATAGCATGCCAATAGCTAAGGGAGGCAGAAGTAGGAGATGAACATCAATTATGCATTTATGGACTATCCCAGAACTTTGGTGTCAATCCCTATTCTTCTGTAGCCTTTGATGAGACTTTTAGCCTCTATTCCAAAGTTGAAACAGGTCTGAAAGAAACAAGAACTTGAATTTTTCAAATGCAAAAACTAMTGATTATAACTGAAAAGAGAGGAGACAAATCACCTACAGGCTCATTCACCAGTCTAATTCAGAGAGATGACCACCACTGGGTGGGGCTCACCTACACAAGCATGCAATAGAAGCTATTAGTKTGAACAGTTGAGTAACTCAGCTATGATACCATAAATTCCATGAGCAGTTTTTCCTGAAACMAAGTTTCTTGGGCCTCTGATTTATACATGACCACTATAAATTCACTTGCTACCATCTCCATTTCCATAAGCAAAGCAAAGGCAGAAAATTATGAGGAGGAAAGAAACTGCAAAAATAGCCAAGAAAATTRTAAGTGATGGTCTGAAAACAAATAGGAGAGAAGAAAAGGCAAAAAAAAAAAAAAAAAATTAAAAGCACGCACAGACGCAAAGAYGCACAGACTCAAAGAAGGAAACAAATTTAGGATTATTTATCATAGGTGCAAACTTGTACTTATCACAGTAGCTTCAGAGCCACACCATATTGCAGAACAAGCATTGTCTTCATAATGATGGCCTTGCTTAACTACACAAAAGATTAAGCTACATTCACAATAGTCCAAGAGGGAAGGATATTAAACATCTTTTACAAAAAAATTAATTAGGGTATTAAAAGACTTTCAGTATCCAGAAAACCTGATGATATGCTCAAGTAATCCAAGAAATCTTGAAGTAAAATGTCTCTCCATAAATAATTATCAAGATACACAAAATACTGTCACCCAGGGCCACAGCATACTCAGAACTAGTACATATGTGCTTTAAAGAAAAAAAAAAAGCCTTTCTACCACAGTAATCCAGTCAGATATTTTACCTTATAACCACTTCTATTCATTTAAAATGTGATTTAGCAACATGAAAAATTACTAGTCATAGTAACAAAAAAAAAAAAGCTAAACTGACATGAAAATGGTTCAGAACCACTTTCACTAAACACCCACAGCTTACTTTCAAAATCCTGGTAAATATATTCTAGTCTAAATGTTAAAAAAGCTTTCACAGACAGTTCTGACCCTCCTTCAAAGCACAGACATTTCAGAATCATGCTTCAATGGCTTAAGCTCTGCATTTTCCTATCTCATTGGCAAGGCTGAATGGTTCCCTTCTGATATTAATTTTCCTCTTAAATGAAAAAAATAATTAACCTATTTCCCATAAAGAAATAACTAATGAAAAGAAAAATGATGAAAATGAATAGTAATAAGAATTTTGACCATGTCATATTTTATTTCACTAAGTATAATCCATGTAAACAAGTATTTTGCCTTGTTTTATATTTAACTTTTTTCTTTTATCTTTACTATATTTAATCCATGGAGGGGGGAATCACATAATGATACACGGATGTAAGTTATAAGGCATAATAACACAATGGAACACACCAAATGGACCACAGGATTTGGTAGCTAGAACTTGACCAAAATCCTGCATCTACCTAAGTACCATCATCCCCTAGTCCATCCCCCTGATCCTCTAAGGTGTCTTCTTCACATACACATTGAAATTTTCTCCATATTATTATAATTGGAAAAGACATTTCTAATATTTCAAGGATTCTTTTAGCAGCCTTATTATAGTTGTCTAGGACTGCCAAAACAAACTGCCACAGACTGGTCAGCTTGCACAAAAGAAATTCACTTTCTCACAGTTCTGGAAGTCTAAAAGTTCAAGAATGAGGTGCTAGCAAAACTGGTTTGCTCTGAGGCCTCTCTTTAACTAACAGAYGGCCGCCCTCTTGGCTGTGTCCTCACTTGGTCATCCCTTGTATCTTGTTGTAAGTCAAATTTCATCTCAAAAGGACACCAATCAGACTGGATTAGGGCCCACCCTAAATRTCTCATTTTAACTTAGTCACCTGTTTAAAGGCCTCTATCTACATGTAGTTCTATTCTAAAGTACTGTGTTAAGACTTCCATATATGAAAGGGGGGTGGGGGACATAATTCAGCCAATAATACTGTCCAAATGAAATTTAAAGCAAATATTCCAGTAAGTTTTCTGTGCTACGCATCTTGGGATTCTTTTTTWAAAAAATTTTTATTCTAATTTGTTATAKATGACAGCAGAATGCATTACAACTCATGTTACACATATAGAGCAAAATTTTCA